AAAATGAAACAAACCTTTTAATATCTCCTTACAGATTGATTTCTGCCTAACCAAATACTTTACACAAAAGATCTGAGGTTACTATTCAAGGTACGGTTATTTTTTATATTTTTCCCAATAAAAGTAAAGTGCAAACCTTCTTTAGCTTGTTCTGTTTGTGGAAGAACTCTACTTTGATGTCACCACACACAGGCAATGGTTGAGGGAACTCAAAGTACATGAACTTGTCTTCCCGACGTGTGGGTCCTGAACTGGAGGAATATATCTTCACCTTGAGCTGGCAGACCACAAAATGAGGATCTGCATGGTTAAATACATATAAGTATCATTTCACTGGAAATGCCTTTAATTAGCAAACTGTCAAAAACTATTTTAATTATTAATATTAGCAATATATACAAAATAGTAATTCTGCTATTATAATCCTGATATAAAACAAATTAATAAATATAAATTAGGTCAAAATGTAATCAATACAAGATTTTCCCTAATCTGAACATTCAACATAAGGTTCTATTGCTGGCATGAAAGTCAATTCTATTTCAAAAATAGTAAGTCCCAAGATTAGACTTCTAGCACTATAGTAACATAAAAACTTTAACACTAAAATGATGTTAAGAATAACTTTCTGGCACATCTATGAACTGTAAGTTTTAAAAGTTATTTTGCTGCAATATTTCAAAGTCTCTATCATGTAACAAAATCCACAATATTCAAATCATTACATGTTCACAAGAGGAAAGAAAAATATACTCTACAAAGTTATACTAAATTCCATAAACGTAAGTCTCAATATTTATAAAAATATTAACCATCATTCATTTTTACCTATAGCTCACACTTTATTTTTAAAGGTATATAAAGCCAACATGATGAGAAACAGGAAGGAGAGGATTTGAAATGTCTGCTGCTAAATACAACAGACATCAAGTACAAATGGAAGTGCACCCCCCCCACCCCCACTTTTCATTAACAAGTATTTTGACTTTGGCTTATGTCTGTTTTAAAATAACTGGTGCCCAGCTGGAGTGACTCAGTGGTTGATCATCAACCTGTGAACCAGGAGGTCTCGGGTTTGATCACCAGTCAGAGCACATACCTGGGTTGTAGGCACATACCTGATGGGGGCGCGTGCAGGAGGCAGCCAATTAATGATTCTCTCATCACTGATGTTTCTCTCTCTCCCCCTTCCTTCCTCTCTGAAGTCAATAAAAATTAAAAATAAAAATAAAAGAATTAAAATAACTGGTAAAATATGATTTCTCAAAATGTATCATGCTTATGTATTAGCAATGCAACTAAAAAGTAGTAATGACAAAGTATAACTAATTTATGGTACAATGAGTTCACAAACAAGTTCATTAAAAAGAGAGTGACTAGCCTTAGGAGAGTTAGAAGTGGGTTCTGAAGGAACCATGTGAAAATGAGTAAGAAATAAAAGCAAGCTTGCATAAAGTGCATGAAAATATATACGTGTATACATGCACATACACGTACATACACACTTAGAAGTAAAATTCTTGCACCAAAAGGCATTATCCTTAAAGATGAAGAAAAAAATAGTATCCCATTCTTTATCAGTAAGACCAACAATTAAGAACAAGGCAAAATGCTATCCAAGCTAAATGAATTTCCCAGTTTAATAAACATCTAGATCATCTATACAATATCTAAAGCAATATGAGCAATCACATAATAAATAGGACTGATCAAAAAGCACATGTGGTTATTCTAATTTGGATTTGTAAGACATTTATCTTAAGAAAAAGAGAGGAAATATTACACTAACAATCAACAATTTCTACTTCCTTGACTAAGGACTCAAAGTACAATGAGCCATTTTAAAAGATAAATTTTACTGGGAAGTCTAGCTCGAAAAAACAAATAAACAAGGTATGATTTCATTTCAAAGTGGTGAATAAAAATCAACCAGAATGAAAATGCTTTGTAACCTTATTAATTCAAACTCCACTAATTCAGAATCTGATACTCCTGATTTTAGAACTTTAAAAAGTTAACTAACTATACAAGTCAGATTTCATCTAAAATGTGTATCTAGCCGAGACCGGTTTGGCTCAGTGGATAGAGCGTCGGCCTGCGGACTGAAAGGTCCCAGGTTCGATTCTGGTCAAGGGCATGTACCTGGGTTGCG